TCCCCTTCCCTCCTTCTCGTCTCTACTTCCCTCCCATCCACCCCCTTCCCCTTTCCCGATCCCTCCCCCTCATCTTTACTCCCCCTTTTCCCCTCTTCCTCCTTTACCCACCCGTCCCCTTCCTCTTTACTTCCCCTTTTCCCCTCTTTCTCCTTCCCACCGCCATCGCAGGGTGTCCTCGCCGTCTCGCCCGCGGGGGGGGGGAGCGATGTGGATTACTTTGCAAACAAACGACCCGAAGGAGACTGCGTGGATTACGGGCGGCGACGGCGCGGGGGGAGGAGGGGGTGGAGGGGAGGAGGGGATGGGGATGGGGAAGGGAGGTGGGGAGGGGAGGTGGAGGGAGGAGGATGGGATGGGTGAGTGGGGAAGGGGGATGGGGAGGAGAAGAGGTGGAAGGAGAGGAGGAGGTGGAGAGGGGGAGGGAAGGGTGGAGGGGAGAGGAGGGAAGGGGAGGAGGGAGGGCCAGGGCGACGCGAGACATGCCGACGAAGCCGCCCGGGTGTGCTTGCTAGGCGACAGGTGTGGGCGGCGAGCGGGCGCGTCTTGCTCTTGGGCGGGCGGCGTGCTTATGGGCGTTGGTGTGTATGTGTGTGTGAAGAATTTGCGGTAGACCGGTTTCGTGCAAAGTACATCGGCATTGGTCCTGTAGTGGTGTGTGATGTTTGTGATGTTGGGGTTGGTGTGTGTACGCACACGTACACGTACACACACACACACTTTATATGTGTCTGTGTCTGTCAGTCTGCCTTGCTGGCTGGCTTGGTTGCTTTTAATGTATGCCCATCTTAAGTGCATACTGTGCATTTTTTACTGCTATTTGTAGACTTTGGAATAGATTGCCTTCAGAGATTGCAACTTCTCCGACTCTCGATAAGTTTGAAAGATCAGCTGACGTGTTTTTCGTACGTAAATAGTTTTCTATTCTTTCATTCTTTCTTAGCTGTATCTTGACCTGCACTGACACCTTTGGTGGTATAAATCGCGACTTTTTCAGTGTGACTCTTGATAAAGCTTGCTAAAATATGATAGTAATAATAATGAATAATAATAATGATGAAAATGATAATGATAATAATAATAATAATAATAATAATAATAATAATAATAATAATAATAATAATAATAATAATAATAATAATATGAGTGTACGTACACACACGCACCATGTGATATTCACATGTAAGGATCCACACAGTCATCTATCTTCACTAACAGCAACAGACCGACAGATAGGCGAGCACACGCCGTCAGTTCACACGCGGCCGGATCCGGTTACCATTAATCCGGGGTGCCGCCGTTCTCTCGCGAGGGCAGCCGAGGTCTCGCAGGAACCGTTGCGGCGAGATGCGGTCTGTGGGTCAGCGGCGGCTTGCGGGGACGAGTTCGACCCGGTCCAGAGCGGATCCCGGGAGGTGGGGGGGGGGGGGTGAAGGGTGGGGGGGCTCATTTGCATCTTGGGTCGAGAGGAAGGTGTTTGTGTTCGGGGGTTGGGGTTGGGGGGTGGAAGACGGGGGGGTTGTGTTGTGTGGGTAAGGAAGGGGGGGATGGGGTTTTGCGTTTGTCTGGATGTGTGTGTGTGTGTGTGTGTGTGTGTGTGTGTGTGTGTGTGTGTGTGTGTGTGTGTGTGTGTGTGTGTGTGTGTGCGTGTGCGTGTGTGTGTGTGTTTGTCTGTGTCTGTGTCTGTGTCTGTGTCTATGTCTGTGTGTGTATGTGTGTGTTTGTCTTATATTTGTGTCTGTTTCCTGTATGCATCTGTATCTTTATATATATTTTTTATTCGTGTGTTTTGGTCGGTCGTTTTGCACATGTGTTTTGATAGACGCTTGATTTCATTCAGGTGTTTCGAGTATTTGTTTGGCCGGGGTGTTTATGTGTGTGTTTGTCGTTATCATCACCATAAGGAGGACTATGATGATTATTATTATTATTGATATTGATATTGTTATTATCATTGTTATTGTTATCGTTGTAATAATACTGATGATAATCATAACGATAATAATAATAATTATTATTATTGTATTTATTGTCATTACTGTTACCACTGGCATCACCATTACTATCTCTTATCATTATTATCATTACTATTATCGTCGTCATCGTTTTGTTGTCATCATCATCATCATCATAATCATATCATCATCATATCATCAACACCATATCTTCATCATCGCATCACTACCATTATCGTTAATATCATCGTCGTCGTCGTTTTGTCATCATCATATCAACACCACCACCATCATCACCATCACACACCATCATCATCCACACCACCACCTTCATCTTCACCATCATCATATCATCATCAACACGCTCATCATCATATCACCTCCACCACCATCATCATATTATCATCATTATCATCACCACCACCATCATCATCATCATCATCATCATCATCATCATCATCATCATCACCACCATCATCACCACCACCACCATCATCATCATCAACATCACACATCAACACCACCACCATCATCTTCACCATCAT